TTAAAATGAAGGCAATTCCCAATTTTTAGTGTGGGAAGGCACCTTAATCCTCTCCTACAGTACCTTTAGTGCCTGTGTAACAATCCCAACCACAGATCATCAGCAGGGTTTGAATCCTAGCCCAGTGTTGCCAATTTTCTCAAGTCCCAGCTCTTGAAGTGAAATAATGACATGAGATTGTCAGATTTTGTGTGTGTTTGTACACCATGTGGTTGTGAAGAAAAACTTGGAAAATATGCCCCAAGTTCACCTGACCTGAAAAGCCCTGAAACCAGAAGACAAATAAAAAGAACTCAGCATGTATTTTTTTTAAATCTCATGGTGGTTTTTAAACCAATCCTATGGCTTTTTACAGTCTCATGATTTTTGAATTTGGGGAATTAGCTTTACTGGTGCTCTTCAGCACCGAAGCCTAGATATCTACCTCGTGTGCTCATGCAATAACTCCATTTGCTTGCAGCTATCCTAGGACGTTATACTATATCTTGATTCTTTTTGCAAGCATGTTACACTTGCATTAAATACTACTGAGGTGGCAAAACTTACTGACCCTCCGAACTACATATGATAATTTTCAGAAGTTTGAGAGCTGGACGAACCTGTCAGGGATCTGGGCTTCAGTCCTGTAGGGCGTTCCTGCTGGGGTTCGGGGCTTCAGCCCTGCAGCAGGGTGGTGGGGCTAAGCGCTTCTGCCCTGCAGGGAAGAGGGTCTCGGGACTTCAGCCCCACAGGAAGCATCTTCAGGGGCGTGGGGCTTCAACTGAAACCTGGAGATCCCCAGCCCCACAGGGCAGAAGCTCCGAGCTCCACCACCCCATCACAGGGCAGAAGCCCCTAGCTCCCCACCCAGTCTGGTAGGCAGAGAATTGGGGGATGGAGGGGGACTCTGCAAGCTGCTCGTTAACTGTAAAAGAGTTGCATGTGGCTCATGAGCAGCAGTTTAATGACCCCTTTAATATTAAGTCACAACAGGGTAGTAGGCTTCTTCTTCAAGTCTCCCACAAAGGCTTTTATGGATTTCTTGTGTTTTTCAATTCATCTGGAGAATGTAAAGAACAGAGAATTAAAACTGACGAGAAGAGAGGAGATCTGTCGGTTACAAGCTGAAATCGACAACTGACTACCCTCCCTGCCCTCTTTCCCTTTTGACCATTATTTGCAATGAAAGAATTTGATCGTCACAAATATGGGAGGGAGATGCTCAGTAGATGAGGTGACTCCTGATGAGATACCCTATTTTTTTATGGGCTGTAACCTTCATTTTATATATTACTGCTCCTGCGGCCACGGAACAATGAACGCTGAATGCGAGAGACTTGGCATTTGCTTAAGGCTCTTAAATAACCTTTTTTTTTTTGTGCTGAATATGGGCCACAACAAACATACACATTAGAACTAAATATCTGGACACCCAGTAAAGTGCTGCATGAGTGATTTGATTACATACATTTTACCACACATATGGTCATTTAGCAGGACTAGGACTGTTCTTAATTACTTGGGAAACTATGCACGGGAGGGGCAGTTGCAAATATGTATCAAGATTGCCCTAACATATGTTTGAAGAGGCAGGAACCAGTCACATGGAGGTAGCTCAAACGTGGTGTAAACCCAATTGCTAAGAACACAGGAATCTTAGATTCAGTTATTTTATTCCTTAGCTGCATTTATGAATACTGTACCACAATGGGAATTGGACGTCAGTCCCTCAACATTTGGTGATTTCAATAAGCTCTAGGAAATAAATACAAGCTGATGAATACTGGCTAAACTGAGAAAAGACTATATGCTGTCTACCTCTATTTGGATACAATTTATCACCTGCAGAGAGAAGCGATAGACAAGCACCAAACCCCATTGCCAGCCTTTTCTCCTCCCTTTGGACCACATTCAGTTACAGAGTGATTTCTCTGGGATTTTTGGTAGCACAAGATAAGCATGCCCCCTGTGTTAATACACTGTTAACAATGGACAGATGCATAACTGGCAGTTCCCCAGATTTTTATATGCTCTGGCTTTACACTACCTCTTTATCTTCTGCACGTGATGCTAAAAGCATTTAGTTCTGCTATACAGACTATGGTAAGGATCATCTCATTTTAGGCTCCAGTTTCGTAGTACATAAAATAAGCATGACTATACAGCCTAGAATTATAAGGGCTTTTGATGGCACTATGTATTACTCCTGAGGGCATTCTGCACCAAAAAATTAAAAATTCTGTGTACAACATTTTAAAATTCTGCACTTTTTGTCAATAAAGGCAGAGGCTCCAGCATGGCAGTAGGGAGTACAGGCCACTGGCTGCATAAAGGTGGGAGATCAACCGGCAGTCCCTCCACCCCCAGGACAAGGACTCAGCGGTGAAGCTGGACTCTGACCCTGACTCAGCACAAGACCTGGGCCTGCCCCAGGAACACCCTGGGGCCCTGCCTCTCTGCGCCAGGTGCAGGGCAGGTAGGCAGGCTCATCCAGGCAGGATCCAAGTGTGGAGGGATCCAGGTGTGGGGTGAGAGGATTCTGTGTAGGACAGTCTGGGTGCAGGCAGCTCAGTGGGGGGATTTGGATGCACAGAGGCACATTATGGAGGGGGATGGGTTCCACATGCAGGGGCAATAGGGCACTGCAGGGGCTTCCAGGTGAAGGTGGTTGGGGCTCAGTGGAGTGCTCTGGGCACAGGGGCCTAAGTGTGTGTGGGGGGTCTGGGTGCTTGGGGAGGGGGGTTTGGTGGAGTGTGGGTCTGGGTGCAGCTAATTAGGGGGCAGTGGTCTGGATGTGGGGGGCTCAGAGGGGTGGGGCTTGTCAGGGTCAGGGTTTAAGTGCTGGGAGCTTAGAGGGGGTGGTCTGGAGTGCAGGGGTGGGGTCCAGAGGCAGTGGGTCTGGGTGCAGGGGGGATCCAGATGCAGGGGTTGAGGTTCAGTGGGGTAGGGTTTGGGTATGGAGTGTGAGGTTAGTTCTGGATGTACCAAGAAAGTCTTGGCAGGGGTGTCTGGGAGGTCCAGATGCACAGGGGTTGTCTGTACAAATCCAGACAGAAGGATAAGCAACTTATACCATCCCCACACCTTCTCTTTGGGTTTCTCCCCGATGGTTCCTTGGGATTGTTAGCAGACCAGATAATCATGCCTATAAGTTGTTAGTAGTGCATAGCTGTAGAGTGGAGAACTTGTATGTTGCCTCAGGTTATTTTCCCCATGCTATGCTTTATGCTATCTGCTCAGGTTTTTGTAGAAAGGCAGGCAGCCAGATAGGAGATTAAAGGTTGTATGCACTAGCAGAACAGGAAAACAACCCTACCACAGCAATTTAGAGAGGGCTGACTACTACGGTGCAGAGAAGGGCTTGGGAGCAGAGCTGGTCAGGAATATTTTGACAAGAACATGTTGGCTGAAAAAGGCCATTTCACTGACACTTTATTTGGAAGAGGACCAGTTTCAACAAAAGCTTTGGGGAAGAAAGGTTTCCCAGTTCTGAGCTGACATTTCCTGGTAAAAACCAGAGACTTTCCTATTCCAGGATAGCCAATAGCCCAATAATTAGAGCACTTAGCTAGGATATGAGAAACCTCTGGGCAGAAAGGTTCTTTAGGGCCTTGAATAGTCGATAGACACAGGGAAAAGAAAAAACAAAAACCAACCCCCCCACCAAACCAAAACACACACTCAGTAGCATCTTAGTCAGTTTAAGTACTTAAGTGGGCTACTTCAGTTACAGCAGCAACATTATTGCTGCTGTAGGCTGAGAATAGTAATGTAAATCCAACACTACAGGTTAGAGTTGTTTTGACTGAGCTCCTTATGAAGGAGGCCTGCTCTCCAGTTTTTGTACTACTAACAATTGTGTGCTTTCTACAAGTAGAGCTCCTTGTCTTTGGCAGGGAGGTGTAAGCTATACTAGGATAACCACAACCACACTGGAGAGGTGGGCCATTACACTGTTTTAATTACACTGGTATAATCAATCAGTACAACCTTTGTTTTTTAATATAAGCCCTGAAGCATCCGGCAAAACTCCAGTCTTGATTGAGGCAGGAATTTTCAGAGTAGCCTGAGGGCATTTGTTAATGGAAGCTGGCTGTCGAATGCCCTTGGGCTGCTCTGAAAGTCCCAGCCTTTGATATCAAGGAGCACCCAGGCCCTTTTCTAGTTTGGATTCCGAAATAGTACAAGTTGCACTCTCAATAGTCTGGTTAACATGCAGCAAAGCCTCCCTGTTCACGCAAAGGGCAATAGTTATGTAGAAAACAGAAGGGCAGACAAGATGAGCAATGTGCAGAGACACTGAGTGATGAGCATAAAATACTGTTTATTGACACAAACATTAAAACAAGTCTAGCATTTGACAGTACAATACACAGGCTCGTGTCTCCTTTTCTCATCTCTGAACTCAAGTGTATCCTCTTCCCAACTTGATGCAGTAAGGATGCATGTTAACTTGCAATGGTTAGACAGTTACATAATTTCAGTAGCTTATTCTCCAATACTAAATGGCCTTGAGGTTCATTTTCTGACAGATACCTAAAATGCTAATAAGAAGTGAATGGTATGTGCATTAGCTTGACAGCTCTGTAGGCTAATTCAGGTGAGATATTAGTTAACAAGAAGATAGTGAGGGATTAAAACTTAAGTGTTCAGTGTTGTAAAGGGTGTAGAAAATGGGGAGAATGATAATTAAGGTGTTCAAAATACCAACTTGACCTCAAAAGTCGATTTTTTCTTAATACACATTACTTAAAAAAGGTAGACAGCTATCTGTAGCAGAGTACGTTTACAGCAGTTTAGACACAGATGAGTTGTACTTTCCTCTTCTATAGATGGTAAGAACTGAGACCAATATTGGCAGAATGCCCATTCTACTATATCTGAATTCTACACAATTGCAGTTTCATGGGATGTTTTGGGCAAGACATCCGGCACAGCTTAGGTACAGGAAATCTGTTACTTTGTTTTAGGCTGGCACCATTGCTGGGATCTAGTTTCTCTTCTGTTTGGGATAGAGGCTCTCAGACCATAGGAATAAGGTCAGGTGCTTCTCTTGCAAACATCTCCTTTGAAGGCACAGCTTCACTGCCAATAGGTCCATAGACTGAATGAAGGGCCATTTCACTCTTTGTGCCTTGGGTTTCAGAAGCTGAAAGAATCTGTTTAGGCTCCCCTTGGACTCTTCTCTCATTTACTGCAGTCACTAGGGATGCCAGGGGCTGGAAAGCATGTGTCTCACTACTGGGCTCCAGTGTCTGAGGGAGCTCACAGCTGGCACCAAGAGAAGCGACTGGGTCTTCTTGCTCAGTGTACTGCTGTAGTTTTGACTCAGCATCTACAGAGATCTTGGGCTCAGAAGCTTTCAGAATTTCTTTCTTGCTTATTGCTGCACGTTCCCCTCCTGCCTGGTCTTCAGTTATATTAGCTGGGATTTGAGGATCTTGACCCCTCTTTTCAAACTTTAGTTCTGTGGTCTCTGTCAACGATTGCAGAGACTCAGCCTCTTTTGGGGTCTCTAGCACAGTCCCTGGAATAGGACAGGCTTCAGTTTCTTCTGTGGTCTTAGCAGCAGCCGCCTCACTGGTCTCTTGGATAAACTTTAGAATGGTTCGTGCTGTTGCGTACACTTCAGTGGTCTGTGCAGCAGACTGAACCTCACGGCCTATTGGGCTGCATGTGCAAGAGACTGTCTCACTCGAGTCTCGGGGTAGCTCTTGTGTGGCTGGGGCAGCAATTTGTATCTCTGTCTCTGCAACAGGAGGCACTGCCATCTCTTCTGTGGCCTGCACAACAGGACAGGACTCACTGTTACCTGCTGGAGTCTCTGTAGCAGGCTCAGACTTTTGTACATTAGGTGCAGCAGTTTGCACCTGAGCTGCTTCTATGGTAGGCCGAGTCCCACCCCCCTCTGGCGTGCTCCATTCAGTAGACTGGGTCACAGTCTCCTTCACGGTCTCAGTCTCTCGGGGACTCTGTGTGTCTGTGCCAGCAGCCTGTACCACCATCGCTTCTCTTACCTCGGTGTTAGGATGGTCCTGGTTTTCCCCAGCAGGCAGAGCCTCACTTACTTTTGCAGTGTCTAGTGCCATGTCTTCAGTAGATTTCCCCTTGGCTGCTTCTGCTGTCGGCCACACACCCGCCTCCTCAGGAGTCTCTGGGTTTGGGACAGATGCTGCCTCAGTCTCTGGAATAGGATAGGCCTCACCTTTCTCTGTGGTATTCTGGGACTCCGTCTCTGCAAGACGTTGGGCTCCACCAGTCACATGCAGGCTCTCTAGGATCTCTACAGCTTGCTGGGCTTCACCAGTAGGCAGTGTCTCTTGCAGGATGCCTTGCATGGCTGGCAGAGCAGTTTGTCCCTTGCCAGTTTCTTCTGTGCTCTGTACAGTCTTGTGGGCCTCAGTCTCTGGCTTGCCTAGCATTCTAGGCTGGGAGTCCGTCATTATCTCCAATGTCTCAAAGGCAGGCCGGTCCTCACCAGCCACTGCTTTGCTCTTTTGTGCATGTAGTGCGGTAGGCTGGGTTTTAGTCACCTCTGTGGTCTCTGACCAAGGTTGGTCCTCACTGTTATCAGCAGCGTTCTGTGTCTCAGCCACTTCTGCAATGCTAGGAGGCTCAATGGGTTGAGCCTCACCAGACTCTCCTTTGGTCACTGCAGCAGAGTGTGCCCCAATCATTATTTCTGTGGTCTTCTCAGAAGTCTCTTCAATAGAGCAGACTTCAGCCTCTGTGGCCTGTGCAATTTTCTGGCCCTCATTGGTCTCCTCCGTAGTCTGTGCAATACTATGCACCTCACTCACTTCGGTGGGCTCTAGAGACCTCTCTGCAAGAGGCTGGAGCCCCTTGGTGTCTTGGAGGATCTTGTGTGCACTTGGGGAAGCAGGTTGTGCCTCAGTCACCTCCACTGGCTCTGCAGTAGAACAGTTCTCAGCATGATCAGTTACTTTCTGGGACTCACCCATTTCAGCAAGTTGCATCTCACCTAGCTGTGTGTCCTGCACAGCAAGCTGAGCTGCTATCAATTCCGTGGAGGCTAGTGTAGTCTCTACAATAGACTCTGCCTCAATCATTTGGGGGATCTGTGCAGCAGGCTCTGCCTCTCCGAGAGCCTCTTGCCTGGTTGGCATTGCAACTGGCACCTCAGTTTCTTCTCTGCTCCATGCAGTAGGCTGATCCTCAGTCTTCAATACACCAATATCGATGGGCTGAATCTCACCAGCTAACTGGGCCTCAGTCCCTTGGTCATGTAGCACATTAAGTCGTGTTTCAGTCACCTCTGTGGTCTCTTCAATAGGAGAAGACTCATAGTGCTCCGTGGCAGCTTCAGTCTCATCTGTGGGATCTAGTGAGCTCCCCTCAACAGGCTGTGCCTCACTAGTGTGCTCTGAGGTCTCTGTGTCAAGCTGGGTCTCAGTGGTTTGGGGGACTGCTGGTGGCAGCTTTGCTTCTGGCTGTGACTCACTCCCTTCAGTGGTCTCTGCACTAGGCTGGTCCTCACCATGCTCTGTGGCAGTCTGACTCGCAATCTCTTCTGTGGTCCTTGGTGCAGGATCTTCAGAGCAGTCAGCCTTGCCCATCACTTGGGTGGCATCTAGTGCAGTCTCTGCAGCACGATGGGTCTCAGGTGTCTCTTGTGGGGTCCCTTCCATCTCCATGGCTGCCCTCTCAGCCTTCTGGTCTGTAGATTTGTCAGGCACACCAAGACGCTTCCTTTTGCCAAGCCTGCTCCCCATGTTGGCAACTCTGCTGTAAACCACAAGAACCAACCACAGTGTGATGGAGAGGACTAACCCGCCCTTTTGTAGGCGCCAGCTGTGGAGGCAAAAGGGTCTTTGATGCTAGGAAGGAGACAGAAAGTTCCAAGCGTCTGTCATGTGTCTGAAGTGTCCTAGAAACCAATGACAAGCATCTCACCTACAAGATAAGAAAAACTTTCATTAACACCCACATATGCTAGCCAGTTAGTACAATAAGCTTCTCTCCTGGGACAGCCAGCCTCAGCAGAACCCTAGGGTCAGTCTCTCTACTGAGAGCTTCTGTTCCTGTCCCTCTTCTCTCTCCCCTTTTTATCTGAAGGATCTAAGCTCTTTAGGGCAGGAAGCGTCTCTTCCAGTTTTAGTGCATATTGCATTATGTTTAAAGGACAGGTACAGCAACCAAGTTCTCAGGCGACTATTATTTTGGACCATGTCTGAGACTTTACTATTATGTACAAGCCAATAGATCTTTCTCAAGTGCTTGAGTCCTAGCACATATGCCTGCATCTAAGTAGTTATCCAGCTCTTTTCCAGCATACTACACTGAGCTAGACCCTTTCAGGTGTATCTGCATGTAATTAAATCAATTTTAGTTACATGGATACAAGTTTAATATAGACAAGACTTCAGAACATTATTCTCTTCTGCCCTTCACCTTACGTATTCATTTACACTGCAAGTCAAGTAGGACAGGCATGCTCTACTCACATTGTGGCAACATACACTCCTTCACACAGGTGATCATGGCCAAAAGACAAGGCAGCAGAGAATCAAGCTTTAGGGATGGCCTCCATTTACTGCAACCCCCTGGGAGGCTTCATGAGTTATAGCCTTTTAAAGTGCTAATAGAGTAAGAAAATGGATTCAAGATGTAGTATTAATCGACAGGCTCCAGGATTGAGAACTGAGTTAAGGGAGAACAATCCAAGAGATAGTACTAGAAACAAACAAAACTGTGGACATCCACCACCCTAGCTTAAGTTCTCTCTCTCAGAAAGGCTGGCAAAAAAGCTCATGTTCTCTGCCAGCGTAAGAGGGATTGAACCTTGAGGAATAATTCTATTTCTCATCCATTTATACTAGCAGAAAGTTTGTCCCAAAGCAGCACTTATTGACAACACAGGAGACAGAAGAGAATTCAGTCAATACTCCCATAGCAGTATTAGCTTTATAGCATAAACAGAAGAAAGTTGACTCTCAAATCAAAGCGGTACAGGTACTATTTCATCCACACACACTTTCAGCCCATCTCCAGATGGAAGTGGGTAGTTTAGCTGCTATCATGGCTAAACCTACTTTCCCCTAATCTAAGAGTGTATTCTGGACAACCCTTCCCTTCCCCTCCTCCCCCAAAAAAATCAAGAAGAACAAGTATAAGTTAACTCCACTAACCCCCAAAACAGACACACACTTACTAAGAGAAACTTAACTAAAATACTTCCCCTTATTTCAAAGGACCTTCATGCTTTGCCCATACCCAAGAGAGTAGCTGAAAATTAAAATACCCAGTTGGTCCCATTTTAACATAGACCTGGATAACCCTCAATTCTAATACATTAGAAGAAAAATACATACCTACCTAAAATATAGTTTAAAGCAGTTCAAGCTTCTTGTGCTCACACATCAATAACTCAACCTACCTAGGCTGCCCTTAAATAGGACTTGGTGGCCACACCAAACTCCTTCCCCACAACTTCCCTAATCTTTAGTTCCACCTAATCACTGTTTTCTCAGCCCCATTGTTTCATTTACCATAAGCAGGGCTTGATCCTTTCCTGCACTGCACCTTTTGTTGTCATTCACTTTTCTGGAAGGTAAGTTTTAAAATCGAGCCAATCTGATATGGTAGCATTTTACATTCACCTTGCACAAGTGTGAATGATGGCCCAAGATGGCAAGGGAGAATCATTCTCATGATGTCTTCTGGTTGAAGTCCCAATGAGTCCAGGTGATTAGAACACACCAGCATAGAGCAAGCCCCGCACTAATATGGCTATTTACTGGGTAAAGACTGGAGGCTGTTGAGGTTGTTGGAGTTGGATGGATCAAACCTGCTAGCCAGATGATAAGAGATCAGCTTCCTCATTTAGACACCTAAAGAAATGGCCTGATTTAAAATACTGCTCAGCACCCAGCTATCCCCCTGAGAAGAGATGCTTTTGGGAGCTGAACACTTGAAAATGAAGGTACTTATTTAGGTGCTTAGATGTTGGGCACTGAGATCTTTTGGAAATCTATCCATAGGAGTAGTTCAGCCTCAATGCACATTCCTATTCCACACACACATAGACAGATTTATTTCTTTACATATTTACAAGGCCCCACTCCAGAGGCATCTCTGCATCGTACAGCCAATCAAGATGAAACGGTAAACTCAGATTGAAGGAACAGTCAGCCAAGTATATAGCAGACTATAACCAAAAGATCCAACACAAAGGCTAACCCCATTGCCCCTCAGGCAGGATATCCCACCCATTCAAAGGGAGCAGTTGTTCAGGTAACCATAAATGTAAAGGTCGTGGGTATTGTGATACTGTCAGACCACTGTGATGCATCTACAGCCTTATTTAGCTTTCCTGTGTTTAAAAAGTATGTGCATCACAAAAAATGTTTGTTTTTATTAAAACCCTTCTGCCCTCTGGCATGTTTATTTTATTTGTTAAGATGCTGTTTTGTTTGAAGTCCACCATCACAACTTTTTAAAATTCTGCTTTTCTTTCTACTCTGAGCAGCTGGATTTCAAGGAAGATATTAGTGGGTGGTAGGAATCTTCAGAGGTGACTCAGCCAATCAGCAATCTAAGAAATCCCTGAGAAGGAATGTGATATAGCTGTTAGAGTAAAGAATGGGGAATCAAGTCACCTGGGTTTGTTTCCCAATATTGCCTATTCCTTTCTGTATGAACCTGGGGAAGTCACTTAACCTCTCTCTGCCTCAGTTCCTCAACTGTCAGATGAGGATAATAACATTTAGCTATTTTTAGGGACATTGCAAGACTTAGGTAATTAGTGCCTGATTTCTAGAATGCCCCAAACTCCATTTCAAGCTCAGGGTGCAGAGCATATTTGAAAATCAGGTCCCGAATATTTGTAAAGCACCCTGAGATTGTTGTTTGAAAGTTGCTGTTTGAGGGTAAAGTATCATTATAGTTATCATAAGTTAGTAGTAGTTAATTTGTATGTCCTATTGGGATATACCATATGAAAATAAAGTAATTTGAGAGTTTTCTCACACTTTAAAAATACTTTCTTTTATGACTGTATTATCATAGTTGTAAAATATGTCACTCTGACTACATCATAACCTTGAATTATGATTTCCTTCTCTCACTAGCTGGCAATCAGAAGTTGCTATGTCAGTCCAATAAATTAATATAAATACAGACAAAGGAATTGCCATCTGGCTCTTTGCAAATGGCTGGTTGAAAAGGTTTACAATGGTATGTGTCAGTATGATAACTGCACTTGAGCTTTAATTAGGGTCACTACTCACTTTGAATTCAAATGATATTTCATGTATGTACAGCAGGTTTCTCCTAGAATAAATCCAAAATGCTTTATTACAAGATATATACCTACACCACCAATGAAATGCAGCCAGTTCTGGGGTGGATGGTGGCAGCTAACTAGCATAGTATGCAGAGTGGAGGGCAATTAAAGGAGAAGAAATTTTAGCTAAGTCCAGGGGGAAGCCTGCAATTGCAAAGTGTGCTATGGCATCCATAAAACCTTCACAGAATCTTGCATTTTATGTCTCATCCCATCCTCTACTGCATCCACCATTTCTATACTGGAGATGCCAGTTTACCCCTTCTATCCCCTTTCTAGCTTCCCTCATCCCCTCAAGCACAGCTCCAACTCCTCCGCTCAGTGGGGTGGAATGTAAAGCTGGCCAAAAAAGGCCAAAATAACTCAGTTATTTTTTGTGGGGAATTTTAAATGTTTTTCGTTTTCCTTGATATTTTCCTCCCTCTCCCCTGCCCCCAATCTGAAACTGAAATCTGGTATTTGTAATGTGAAAATGTGTAACATAAGAGAAACACTTCCTGAAAACCAAAAATGTTACTAAAAACATTTTTAATTTTTAGTTCTCAGCTTTCAATGGGAAAAAGAAAGAAAGAAAATTGAGACCAAAATTAATTTATTTGTAAAAAATATTTCAACAAAAAATATTGACCAGCTCTAGTGGACAGATTGGCTCTTTCCAAGCCTGCTGTTGATAGCAGGAGACACGACAAAAACTGGACTATTTCTTCTTCCACTTTAACCGTTCACTGGGGAATTGATCCACCAGTTTGGCTGAGGTCCCCTGTGTCATGGAATAGAGAGTTAGCTTTCTTTTAACACCAAACAAGGACATTTTTTTGGACTAAGTAAAGGTTATTATCTAGAGCTGGTCAAAAAAATTCTGATGGGACAGTTTTCCTGTAGGAAAATGCTTATTCAGTAAAATCAAAATGTTTTGCGGTAACATATTGATTTCATCGAAAATATTTTGTTTCAATAAGGTTGAAGCACTTTGTTTCACTTATATTGTTTAGACTATAATGTAAATATGATATAATATAAATAGTTGAAAAAATAGCATCAAAATGTATTGCTTCAATCTTACTGAAATCAAGTGTTTTGATAAGTTCCTTTTTGATGTTTCCAAAATTAATGTTTTTGGAGTTTTTGTTTCATAGGAAATTTTGAAAATTTTACTTTTCATTCTGGGAGGAAAGAAAATAGCAAAATATCAGAATTCTGTGGAAGGGAAATTTTGAGTTTTGACAGAAACAACAAGGAGTCCGGTGGCACCTTAAAGATTAACAGATCTGACAATCTGTTAGTCTTAAAGGTGCCATCAGACTCCTTGTTGTTTTTGTGGATGCAGGTTAACATGGCTACCCCCTGATTTTGAGTTTTGACCAACTCTACTATTATTCTTAAAACTTCTCTCTCACACATACACACTCTGCTTCACTGAAGAGCTTC